CAGAGAGAGATTGACCGGCGATTCGAGATCGGGCTCGACGCATCGATCTCGTTGGCGAGATCGTCGGCTCCCACTGTGGTCGCCAGATTGTTCGCGGGGAAAATCGTAGGTTTCTTTGTTATTGATTCCATTGTCATCTGAGTTACAACTTTTTGAGTTACAAAGATCGCGTCTTTTTATAAGATCCGGTTACAACGAAAATCAAATAAAAATAAAACAAAGATTACAACTTTTTCTCCTTTTGTGTCGAACGAATCGCGAGCTCCTGTTTTGCGGTTCGCTCGCTGGTGGGTTCTTTGCCTGCGCCGGGGTTATTTACCGTGGACCACCGCGAGATCTAGATCCGGTCGGATCTACGCAGTACGACGGGTATTATTTCACGCAAGGAAAATAATAGCGGGGAGGATTGTCTCACCAAGTGAAACAATCGTCCAAGTCTCGGATCTAAGACCAAGCTTAGATCGCGAGTTTGCCTGCGTAGATCTGAGATCTGATGCCTCTCGAACACTGCTGCCTTATTTGACGTTGATGATCGCGCGAGCACCAGATCTGAAGGAGTGAGTCCCCGAAAGTCCCAAAGTTTCAATCTTTTTTAAGTTCCGAGTCTCCAATCCAGCAGGGCTTCGCCTCTCTCCAAAATTTCCAACCCTGAAATGAACCAAGGCCTAGCCTATTTATAGCACCCTCCACGATCTGTGCCTAGGCACAGATCTGGGCCGGCCACCTCAGGTGGCTCGGCTCTGGGCCGAGCCACCTTGAGGTGGCTCGGCCTTTGCGAGGCCACCTTGACGGTGGCTCGGCCACGCGAGCCACCGCCGCGAAGGTGGCTCGGCTTGGCGCGAGCCACTTGAGGTGGCTCGGCTTGGGCGAGCCACCTGAAGTTGGCCTCGGGCTTCGGCCGAGCCCTCTAGGTGTGGGTTTGGTGTTTTTCCACCTTGGTTCTATCTGTGATTTGGTTCTGTGGTTGATTTATCCAGACTTGATTCGTTGTGTTTCTGTTGTGTGGTTGATTGACCTGGAAACGGCTCGTTGACTTGATTCCAGATTTGGCAGTAAGTCCGGATCCTGATTAGGCAGTAAATTCCACTTCTGAATCTGAGTCGCGAAACTGATCTTGATTCGATCGTGATTCGTTCGAGTCCGCTCTCGGTTGATGACTCGTTGACTCTTCGAACACTTGGCTTGATCCGCCGCGGAATGGATGTATTCCGTTGCTTGCGTACGATTTCGTCGATCTGCGTCGCCTCGTTGGTTTGTCGGTTCGTGCCGAGCTGAGCTAAGGGACCTATAAGCAATTTTATATGCCTACAGTCACCACGCCCCCCTGCGGCAGAAGGGTTGGCCAGAGCAGATCTGACCTGGTTGGAAACTGGAGGGATCTCACCCAATGCGACTGTGGCATCAAACGGGGCGAGATCTTCGTTGGTGGCTTCGACTTCTTCATACCAACGAACCTTTCTCCTGGAGGAGAACTTGGACTTCTTGGACTTGCGGGGGGAGGTAGATCTGGACGAGGATGAAAGGTACTCCTCGAACTTGGTCTGATCGAACTCGTATTCGACCTCCTCCACGACCGGGATTGAGATCCGCGGCTGCGACGCTCCGATCTCGTCGGCGAGATCGGTGGCTCCCACTGTGGTCGCCAGATTGTTCGCGAGAAAATTCGTGTCTTTCTTTGTTATTGATTCCATTGTCATCTTGAGTTACAACTTTTTGAGTTACAAAAGATCCGGTCTTTTTATAAGATCCGGTTACAACGAAAATCAAATAAAAAGAAATGAAAAATTACAACTTTGTTTCCTTGTTTGTCGAACAGAATCGGCGAGCTCCTGTTTTTGCGGTCGATCGCTTTGGTGGTTTCTTTGCCTGCGCGGGGTTTATCCGTGGACCACCGAGAGATCTAGATCCGGTCAGATCTGAGCAGTACGACGGGTATTATTTCACCAAGGAAATAATAGCCGGGGAGAGATTGATTCACACAAGGAAACAATCGTCCAAGTCTCGGGATCTAAGACACAAGCTTAGATCCGGAGTACGTCTGCGTAGATCTGAGATCCGTCCCTCGAACACCTGCTTATTTGGCGTGATGATCGTCGAGCACCAGATCTGGATGTGCAAGTCCTCGAAGTCCAAAGCTTGAATTGTTGTAAGTTCTGAGTCTTGAGTTCAGGCAGGGCTTCGCCTCTCTCAAAATTTCCAACCTTTTGAAATGAAGAACCCCTTGGCCTATTATAGGCTCTCGTTACTGTGCCCGTGCCCGTGTGCACGTGTGGCCAGCTCAAGGTGGCCGGCCACCTCAAGGTGCTCGGCTCATGCCGAGCCACCAAGAGGTGGCTCGGCAGGCCACACTTGTGCTCGGCCACCGAGCCACCTCTTGGTGCTCGGTGGTGGCCGAGCCACCTTGGTGGCGCCGAGCCACCAAGGAGGTGGCTGCCTCCTCCGAGCCACCAATTGGTGCTCGGAGGTGGCTGACCACCTAGAGGTGGCTCGCCTCCGAGCCACCTTAGAGCGTGGCTGGCCTCCGAGCCACTCCATTTGGGTGGCTCGAGGTGCGAGCACCCAAGGTGGCTCGGCCACCGAGCCACCTAGGTGGCTCGGCCGAGCCACCACTTGGTGGCTCGGCCACCGAGCCACCTTGGTGGCTCGGTGAGCCGCCTCGGTGACTTGGTTTCCGAGCCCCTCCGGGTGTTTGGTTTTCTGCTGTTTTCCACCTTTGGGTTCTGTCCGTGACTCGGTTGATCCAGACTCTGATTTGATTCCTGATTTGGCAGTAAGTCGGATTCCTGATTTGGCAGTAAATCCACTTCTGAGTTCGAGTCCGAAACCGATCTTGATTCGATCGTGGTTCGTCCGAGTATGCTCTTGGTTGGATGACTCGTTGACTCTTCGAACACTTGGCTTGATCCCGCACGCGAATGGACGTATTCCGTTGCTTGCGTGCGATTAGTCAATCTCGTCGCCTCGTTGGTTTGTCGGTTTGTGCCGAGCTGAGCTAAGGGACCTATAAGCAATTTTATATGCCTACATCTATGCTTAATCTAAAGTGAAATATGATAAAAAGAGAATAGTTTGTATTTTGTAATTGAAATTAGCTAGTGGATTCAATTCTAGATTTCTCATAACTTTAATTGAACCCTCTATCTTTTGTTTTCTTGTTTCTCATTCTTTTTATTCTTGCTTTTTATTCTATTATTTGATTCTTACTTCTCTTCTCTAAAATTCAATTTATTGTTACTTGCATATATTCACAACAATCACGCTCACTCATCATAACTCTCACACTTATTCTTTAATCCTAATTTTGTCACGCACAAAACATGAGAACCAATTCTAATAATCTCTTAAAATCACCTTCCTCGTGGGATCGATAACTTTTTATACTATAACTTTAATAATCTCTTAAAATCACCTTCCTCGTGGGATCGATAACTTTTTATACTATAACTTGATTAATTGTGTACTTGCAATTTTGGTACATAATTATGTGGGATCGATAACTTTTTATACTATAACTTGATTAATTGTGTACTTGCAATTTTGGTACATAATTATGCTGCATCAGCGAACTTCGCCTACACGCTTAAAAGCTCGCTCGCCTAGCTCGCCTACAAGCTTGCCTAGCTCGCCTGCAAGTTTGCCTAGTTCGCCTGCATGATCCAGGCTCTCCTGCAAGCTTGCATAGCTCGCCTCGCTCGCCTGAACTGTTAAAACCGCCTGCTCGAATTGTGGGAGCGGTTACGCCCACTTCCCACATTCTAAGGAGGCGGTTATTGCCATCTCCTTCTATAAAAAGCCATCAATGGCTACAGGAAAAAAGACGTTTTGGCAATCAGAATTCTGGGCATTCAAGAGAACCGAATTCTTGCATTTTGGCATTCAACTTTTACATTCAAGCTCGGTTGTTCGGACTCATCTAATCAAGCTTCTACCACGCGCTGAAGTTTGTTTGCAATGTCGTTCAAATCGTCAAAGGGAAGCAAACTCGACACGAGCATCGAGGGAAGCATCCTATCGTTCTGTAGAACCCACATTAAACAAAGAGAGATCAAGTCAATTCTCTCTTCCTCTGTGTAAAAGCGCTTTCAATTTGTAATAAGCAATTCAATTAATACAAATTTCGAGATCTTATTTTACAACAAACAGGTAGGTACATTTTTTTCCTTTATTTGTCCGTTTCCGAACAGATCAAGAAAGAGGACTAAGGTCGCTAAACATTTCAAGTAAAGAAGTACTAAATTGATTAATGAAATATGTGACTCCTATATTGATTTTGAACTCTGTTTACTGTTGAAGAGCTTATCGCTTTGTTTATAAGTAATAAATGTGCTATTTGCTAATTTGTGTAAAAAAGTGAATAATGAAGCTTTTAGTTTAAGAGTTTCACATTTTTAAGCCTTATACCGATTATTTCAATCGTTATTAGTACGCCAAAGGTGAGACAATTCATGTCATCCGTGCTCCTTTTTTTTGGGCATTTGACAAAGGAGATATTAACTTTACCACTTAAAATTTGAAAAAGAATCTTGTTAAATTTATCATTTTCTGAGTTGACAACTAGCGCCGACATAATTCTCCTTTTCACCCTCAACAATCAATAAAAAGACCGTTAGGCCCCATCAGCCTATTTGCTGCCGACGCGCCAATTTCTCCTCTCGTGTGTTGTGAAGAATCTCTCGAGCGAAACGCCCTCTATTTAATGACCGACTCCCACTGAGCGAGAGCGACGATGAGATCCAAACTCCTATTTAGTTTATCATTTAAATCAGATTAAAAATCAACAGAATCGTTCTCTGCTCCTTGATCGGATCTGATACGCTTTTTCTCTTCATTCCATTCTCCTAAGGTAACTATGCCTCTTTTTGCCGCGATTGAGATAGACCTGATTTGGATATGTTGATCAAATCGAAAGTAGTGGAGCTTCAATTTGAGCTTTCTTTAATGATTTGGTGATGTTTGGGTTTCATTGCTGCAATTTGACCTGTAGTCGTTTTCTGTGCGATCGCAGATCTATTTAGTCTTCAATGGTTCGGTTTATACTATTGATCAGGATCTGAAATATTTTGTCTTGATTCACTGTTAAGTGTGGTTTGATCTTGTCTTGTCTCTAATTATATACCTCTGATCTGTTGAAGGAAGGATTCAGAATGATATAACACAATTGGCTATTGATTTAAAAATAAAAATGAAATCTTTGGAATTTTGACAATTTTTGATTAAAATTCTACGTATCAGAGGCCATGTCGAGGAGGCCGGGAAATACAGCTAGACGTTTGTCGGATGGTGGTGGAAGTTTTCCATTTGGGGGATCGACGCATAAGAAGTCGCAGACTTCACCTTTTCTTTCTGTCGGATTAGTTATTTTGGTATAACCTTTGTTGTTCTTTATAGCATTCATATTTGTTATTTAATTATTTCTGATTGCAGAGGAAATATATTGAACTCTCATATCTTGACTGAGTTAATAAACTTGTGATATGTTATTTCAGGGGGCTTTTCTTCTTATTGGATATTCGTACAAGGGCTCAGGTGGGTTTGAATTAAAACACAGTTTATCATCTTAATTAGACTTGTTTGCCATTGTAGTAGATTTACCAAATATCGCCTTTCTTGTTGGAAACTTAAATTACATGTCACACATATGCAGGTGGGTTTCCTATCAAAAAGGATGTTTCCCTTAATGATGGAGGTAAGAACTGATATATATTTAACAGTATCCTCTGAGTTCTTGGATTCAACCATCATCTTCTTTGTTGATGTATTCTCAACTCTTAACAATTTAATGGCTTCGTGGTCTTGTTACTCTAAAGTTGTTGAATCTAACTGCAGAATTATATTTTCTGTTTTATTGTATAATATTGCCTTGAAATTCAGTTACTTCAGTAGAGAAATTTAAGGACAAATTATACGCAGATGGATAATTGCATATCATGATGTCAAATTAACTGAACCACAAACTTATTACAGCATGCAGTTGCTATTCCCATGCTTAACAATAGGGAGTCCAAATTGGTTCTATGGTCACATGATTTCATGAGACTGTTACAACTCATGGCAAGCATCCTAGAATTGTGTCGTTCACAGTTTTATTTGACTTGGACAAGATGCATATATGCGGAGGATGTATCTACATATCATGTCATTGCTTCTTACTTATAGTATTTCCATATAATGATGTGCTTTATGTGACTAAAATCTTTTCTCTGAACATCCTCTTTTGGAATTAGCACTTTATTTCATGGAGGTAGATCTCAGTGCATTATGTAATAACACCAATCTCAATTGTGATGCAATATGGGATTTTCACTGTTGACTGTGCATTCCAATCTATTTTCTTAAAATCACATTTCACTAACACAAATCTTCCTATTTCATTTGCAGGTGCTTCATGTACATTAGAAGTTCAACGGGCAATACCTGTACTAAAAAAAGCATATGGTGCTAGCATGAACAAAGTTTTGCATGTAGGCCCTGAGACTTGTTCTGTGGTTTCCAATATGTTGAAAGAAGATGTCTCTGAAGTTTGGGGTGTTGAGCCATACGACTTGGATGATCCTGACAGTGAATGCAGGAGCCTTGTGCGCAAGGGATTCGTGCGTGCGGCAGATATCAAATTTCCTTTGCCTTACCAACCAAAGTCATTCTCTCTTGTCATAGTTTCAGATGCACTGGATTACTTATCTCCAAAATATGTCAACAAGACTCTTTTAGAACTGACAAGGGTATCCAAGGATGGCTTAGTGGTTTTCACTGGTAACTTTTTGAATCTGATTACGGACATATATGTCTTCATACCTAGTTTATGCGGGTATTTGCAGTTTCTTATAAATTATAATGATCTTTCACTATTGAACTCTCTCTCCCATTGCCTTTTCTTGCAAGAAAGAGTAACAATTACAGATAAAAGTTGTATTATCTTTGTCTCCGTTTTTTTTCTGGTTTTTATTATAGTTTAGATTTGTTAAAACAAAATGGAAAAATGAAGATATGGAATATGAACTTTCTTGAAGTACTAGCTTCAGAAAAACTGGTTCGAGTCGTTGTGCGTCCTAAAATGCTAAATTTCAAGCAGAATTTTGGCCTACTCCGGTGCAAGGATCGCAAAGCCTAATTACTTCCAAGAAATAGCAACTTGAGTATACTGATGTGCACCAACCTGACATCCCATGATCTCCTTAATCAAGTTCAGGCACTATGACGAACTTTTCAGTTTGATTTCGGACTATAACCTCCTCGGTTTTGCGTAGAATTGGGCCTCAAAGCTGTTTTCAAAACTCAAAACAATGTTTTTAAACTTGCACCATTTATGCCTTCTTCAACTGTAACACCAGATGATTTATCCACATTCCTTAGTTTTTTTAGTCTATTTTTTTAATTTTTATTTTAGTATTCATCGAGATGCATGCTTTACAGGTTTTCCAGGTCACCAGAGGATGAAGGTGACCAAGCAGTCGAAATTTGGGAGAATGGTGAGTTCTGCAGTCAATAAATTATCATTTACATAATATGCTGGAGCTGTCTCCTTATAGTTGGGTCAAGACTGAGTAAAATGGCTTTGCAGGTTGTGCACAATGTGCTGCTCTTAGTTTCGTCTCTTCCTACGTATGCTTTGGGCTATTCTAACTTGTCATCTCTACGTTTGGGTGGATGAGTTTCAAACTCATTCTCCTTTAACTTGGTATTTTTATGTTTTTATGTTTTCTTTTGGTGTGTAGTTTCATTCTTGTGTATTCTGTTTCAATTCACACTACTTATGTAATTTGTCAGATAAATTTCACAAACCCCCAAACCAACAAAAAATTAAAAAAAAAAGCAAATGCCCCCAAATCCCGCCACGGCCATGTACCCCTAGCCCCCCGCCCCACCCCCCAACCCACCCATCAGCAAAAAGAAAACGGCTTTTAGGGGTTTTCACTAACCAGCTGAACGTTTTTTCCCACAAAACCCCGCCTCGAACTTTGAGGTGTGCTCTACAAAATTGCGCTCTAAAATTTTTTAAGTTTCTGCAACGGACTCCCTAATGGTGTTAATGGCGATGTCGTGCATGTATTTTTGATCATCGAGGAAATAAGGCACTTGTTAATCCATTAACCTATTGGGTTTCGTTGGAAAATTATGAAACTTAGGTGGTGGGGATGGGGTTTTTTCTTGTGGTGGTGGTGGTGGGGGGTGGGGGTGGGGGGGGGGGAATCCATGGGAAACACCAAAAAGTTTGTGAGTTTGAGATCTATTCTATTTTGTTCATTATCTCCTTTAATGAACAAGGTGCCCACACTATGCTTTTCCTCGAGAAAAAGACACTATCTATATCCTAGCCTTCCCCATTTATATTGCTGGGTGTGAGCCTATATAGGGGTGTCATGTCTATTGAGGTGATTAGGTAACTGAACTCCTGCATCTCAGAGTGATAGCTGTTTATCCCCGCTCCCCCACGAGTCTCCTTAGACCCAATTAGGGTTTTCATTGTATGCATCCCACTTCTTTATGGTCTATAAGAGGCCCAGCCCCAGTCCTACAGTACAAATTTTATAAATTTGCCTCAAAGGATCGATCTATAATCTAATCATCTCCTTCTTTTGATACATATATTGGTTAGATTATTTGGAGTCTTTGCATATGCCCAATGGATAGTTAATCATAGTTGAAGGAGAAGTTTAAATTAGATAGAACTAACTAAACTTACCATAAGGAAGTAAAAATAGATGTGATAGTTTCAAATTTAACTAAGCGGCTAAGGGATCCAAATGATGAAGTAATTGATGTAACTAAACTGAAAGATTTGGGCAAATGATTATGGAAGTCTCTTAACGCCTTCTTATTTTCTTCCCACCGGAGTTATTTCACAAAGATTTAATGCAGTAAGACACACATATTTGTTTCCTAAAATTTCCACATGCATCTTTCCTCAGTCGCTCAAAAGAATTAACTCTGCAAATGATCGATGGAGATCATTTATTTAACCAGCTCCATCAAATTGATTTAGAGTTTCACTTTTACATTTTATTTTATTATACGGTCATATTTTATCTCAAGGAGTTACTACCTTGGTATTTTTATACAATCAATTTTTGCTTCTTTCCTATAATACATCTGTTGGAGTGTCTAAATTCTTGGTTTGTTGCGAGATTTTGTTAACCATGCAAATACTACAAATATTGAAACGTTGCTTTGATGGGATAATGACATTAACAGTATTATTTATGTTCCCTTCACTTTGAAGGCCAAACTCCGGAGTCCATCATGGTGGCAGAAATATTTTCTTCAGACGAACTTGGAGGAAGATGAAGCTGCGACAAAGAAGTTTGAGCAGGCCAGCAGCAAGAACTCATATTCACCAAGCTGTCAGATCTTTCATCTAAGCACCTAGATGTTTCTATCAATATCTACATAGCTCTTAAGGTTTCAGATAAAGTCTTACACTGGTCAACAACAATCCAGAAACCCTAATTGGTGTAACTTGGCTGAGATAGAAATTTTTTGTTTTTCTTTTTCAATTTTGATATATGGAAAGCTTTGTTTTATAGTATCTTTTTTTATTAAGCAAACAGATTGCATTATTTATCAGCTTTTAATGGAATGAACATTAGAGTGGTCTTGAAACAGGGGCCATATTACTTGATATTGATATGTATGTAATTTAGTTCTTGTTATCATCAATTTGGTAGAATGGCTGGATAATTTCAAGTTTAGTTTCCATAGGAAGAAGATAATTCAGTTCTCTGGGAAAGTATGTCGTGAAATTGTACTCTCTCTCTCTCAGTGCAAGAACCTTGGTTGACTGCTCTCCGATGTCCCAGAAAGCTCTAACTAATTTTGATTTGATTTTTATCTAAAGAGGCATATGTAGAGAGAGATCATTAGGTTCATCTTTATTTTTTGATGGCTGAGCAAGTCATCTTCTCAATATGTATTTGACGATCCATATCAATAATGTTTATGATTAATTAAATGAAATAACTATATATCCTCATAAATTACACTCATTTTTTGTTTCCATTAAAACTGTAAAACCTTGTAATTTTGAAAATAATATGGAAAATAATATTAAATGAGTTTTATTGTGATTAATACTAATTTTGGATGAATGAGTATGTTTAAAATCGATTTGAAATCGATTAAGTACGTATATGAATGTATAAAAGTATACATGAGAAACGGTCGGCTGAAAACACCTCTGGGCAAGTCAAATTGCATGAATGAGTATGTTCAGGCCCGTTTGCGTATATATATGCATATATACCCGAATTCTTCTCTTTTTCTGGTTTTCCTCACGTTCTGAGCAGCAACCACCATCCTCAAAACCCTAGAAAATATTCTTTTGAGTTTGGGAAAGCTTTGAGAAGCGAAAAAACCTAAAGGAAGGTGGGATAGTCGGCTTTTGGTGAAGGAGGATCATGTCTCTCGTGTGTTTGAGAGCCCCGCACGATTTTTGAGGCGAGTTTTATCTCCTCCAATCCCATCCTCATATTTCTTGGTTTTATTTGGTTTTATTTGGTTTTATGGGATTTTTAAGACATATTTTATTAGTAAAGATCACACTTTTAATCTGTATGATATAAATATTTGATCTTTTTGATTTAAATATTATGAAACATATTTCTTAACTTAGGTATAAGTTCTGAAGTAAAATTTACATGAGATTTTTGCCGATTTGATTTTGTTTTCATGATGAATTCATCAATATAACGATGTTAGGGTTAGTAGATTCCTTCAAAAGTTTATATTTGTGATTTCATGTAGTAGAATAAACCCCACTATGTTAAACACGAGATTTATACATGTTTATACATCCCATGTTAATGATTCACAAGTTCTTTTTGAGAAAAAATTGGTTTATGTTCCTAAAATCATGTTTCTGTTTCCCGTACCCTGATCGGTCGACCGACCCAAAGAATCGATCGACCGATGTACCCTGAGAACTACTCGTTGTTCCCACTGATCAGTCAACTGAAACATGGAGTCGGTCGACCGATCAAGGCTGAAATTCTTGTGCATGTGGTGCACGTTTCGCCGGTCGACTGTTGGGTTAGGTCAGTCGACTGATGTAGGCTGATTTGCATACATTGTTTCCTTTCACGCGCGTTTGGTGCACACATGAAGTACGAGCCTGTAGGCGTCAAAAATTGCCTATAGATTATCATACGTAGCTCAAGATACAGAGAAGGTGATAAACGTTATCATCTGAGTTGCAGAGGATCATCTAAAGCTAAAGATCAACTAAAGAATGCACAAGAATCGCATCACGCAAGGTTCGAGACGTAAAAAATATCTCAGAAGCATAAGAGGAACTCACAGTTTCTGAGACAGTTACAACTGTCTCGAAAACTACGATGAAGCTTATAGCTTCCGAGACACATACAACTGTCTCAGAAGCATGAAGGGAATCCACAATTTCCGAGACAGTTGTAATTGTCTCGGAAGCTATAAGGAAGACTATAGCTTGCGAGACACTTACAGCTGTCTCGGAAGCTAAGGTGATACAGATTATGGTTTTCTCGAGATTCGCGCATGCCACGTGTCTCCATAACTGTTAGAGATCGTGTGTGGGAAGACGTTACAAGCAGAAATTACGCTAATAACTATCAAAATAATGGCATTAATACGTGTTTAAAGCAGTTATAAAAGGATTAAAAGGAAGCATGCTTCCGAGTCAGTTACAGTTGTAACTGTCTTGGAAATGGAAAGCCAACCATGCTTCCGAGACAATTACAACTATCCCTGAAATGGGAGTCCCTCGACGCGACTTCTTTTTAACTTTTAACTTCAGTTATGGTCCTTAGGGGCTATAAATACCCCCCTAGGACCATTACTGACGAGGACTGAGCATTTTTGGAGCAGATTAAGCAGAGAGATTTGAGCAATTTGGTGAATTCTAAGTAAGAGAGAGAGAGTCTTCATCACATGCAAGCCTTTTTCAGAGTTTTTGTGATTCCTTAAGATCTCTAAGCTTCGACTTGATCTTAAGAAGAGTGTTTATCTTACATCGATAAGATATTTACTTCCTTTTCTTACTTTTAAACGAAGTAAGATTTCCCAAATAGCCATCACGGTCAATCTAAATCTGTGATTCGGTAGTCCACAGGCTAACGCACCCTCGATACAGGCAAAGATCCCACACAAGCAGCGAACAATAAACGTTCCTGCGTGTGTTTCTAAGGAGCATTGTAATTTGATTTTTTGTTGTAAAGAGTAGTTTTACAAAGCACGAAACTTGCTCTTATGTATTCATTGTAATCGATAAACAATTATAATGAATTCTATAATAAAATTTGTTCCTGACAAAAACACGTTAGTGACCACAGTGGAAGCCAATGGTCTCGCTGCCGAGACCGTCGTATCGCAGCCGATCAAGATACCGGTTGAATCCACGGCCGAGTACGAATTCGACCAAGCGAAGTTTGAGGAATATCTATCGTCCTCATCCTCAAAGTCTTCCTCGCCTCGCAAATGCGGGAAGATTTCGTCTTCTAAGAAGGTTTTCAAGTTTTCGACTCCGTCGAATGCACGGGTGAAGACTCTCGCCCGATTATTGCTGAGGATTCTACTCGCAACACTTCTGCTCACAATGACTCTGTAGGCATCAAAAATTGCCTATAGTTCTCCACAACCGGTTCAGTGTTAACGAGCGACGATGGACGATCCGCTCATTAACTCTCGTCGGTCACTTCAAGATCGTCGTCGACGTTTGATAGGCTCATGGAGTGGTGGTGACTC